TGAGATTCAACTTGTGCCACAATCTTCACAGCATTCTTGTGGCAACTTTCAACCCAAGTCTTAAACTTGTACCACCAACTATCCCAAGTGCCTGATGCTCCAGTGAACTTATCAGGTTTGGGTATGCCTTTCAACTCTGATCTGTCTTTGTACTCAACAGACCTCTCAACATTTCTGTTGATCTGTAGCTGCTGGTTCATAGCCTCGGTCATTGCCTGATTCAACTGCGCCTGACCCTGAGTCAATTGGGCCATCATCTGCATAACCATCTGGGACATGTTGGGACCGTTGGTCTGTCCTTGTGCTGGTGCTGGTGGAGTGCCTGGTTGCTGAGGTGGCTGCTGTTGCTGAGCCATCCTTAGTCGTTCTTCAGGTGCTTTGAGACCTGATTCAAGAGAACCCTTGGATACTGTTGGAGATGCACTCCCAGATTATGGAAGTACCTTTGGATTTTCCTGATTTTCAGGAGCTTGAGTGTCAACCTTTTCCAGTTGGCACGAGGTGAGCGCGCCAGAGCAGAGACAGCTCGGCGTCGACACCTACACATTCACAGCTGGGTATCAGAACCTAAGCTCCGCCTACCATGAACAGAGAAATTGGGCTCTTAAATCTGATGAACACTCCTGAGCACTGTTCAGCACCTTTTCACTCGGTTAGCTCGAAGGTAGCTAAAAGCACTAAAATGGCTAAAATGGCTAAAATGGCTGCAGCACATATACAAACATATGTACTACATGTAACATGGTCTATACTGTACACATATCTGATCAGATATAATATGATATAATATGATATAATATGATATAATATGATATAATATGATATAATATAATACAACATAATATAATATAATATAAATACAAAATAATATAATATAATATAATAAAACATAATATAATAAAACATAATATAATAAAACATAATATAATAAAACATAATATAATAAAATATAATATTATATAATATAAGACTGGATGTGCAACACGGCTCGCGAAATCGAAGCAGCCACTCAGCCACTCAGCCACTCTGCCAGAGAGGCTGGACCAGCCACTCAGCCACTCAGCCACTCTGTTAGAGCGGCTGACGCAGCCACTCAGCCACTCAGCCACTCTGAGCGGCTGAGTGGCTGAGTGGCTGGAGAGCCATTGGAGTGTAAGCAATATTACCCAGACCTAATTTTTCTTAGGTCTGGGTAGTATCTCAAGTGAGGTTTTATGCTAATTTAGGGCCCCTTCCTTTATTTATCCAGGCACTGGGGCATATATTCTTATGGGTTGAATGGAATCTTAGGCAAACAGGCAAACATCTGTGTTAAAGGGTTGTGAGAAAGAAGTCATTAATCATTTGTGTTAAAGGGGTTCGCTCTGTGGGTCCCTGCGGATCATCATGGCGAAAGGAATGAGACATTTGGTTATAGTTCCAATGTTTTCATATATGTATGTTATTAAATAAATTATATATATATATATATATATGTAGATATAGCTAGACACAAACACACCTAAGGTCACAACAGTTCATATCATTTCATCACAGTATCAACACAAAATAAGACCACATAATTTCATACATCATCCCACATCATTTCATCATCATCCATCATCACATAAATTCATATCATAAAGTTTCATCATAATATTTTATCATAATATATTATTATAAAATAATATCATAAATCTAAATCATCCACGTCTAACATTCCTATGTTCGAATCATAAATGTTCATATATTATGATATGAAAAAATATGGGGTTAAAGTCTTTTAAAGTTTTTTGGTGTAATGGTTTTCCAGATTTGTTTCAATTTTGCAATTCTGGCTTCATCATCTTTTAAGTATTCCTCCATATATGTTTGTTTTTTCTCTTCTTCCTTTTTGAGTTTTTCCTTGCTGGAATGCCAGTCGGTTTTGACATGTTTGGACAACCTGCATTGTTTCACATTCCGTTGGCAAATGTCTCAGAATACTTCCTTTTGATTATATACTTTGTTACTCTCCTTTTGTTTGTCCAAGCATTCAATACACATTCTATTCATTCCATTGAACTCGTCACCAGTTTTGTTTTTCTTACACTTTGTGCACTTTCTACTCTCCATACTATTATAAGGTATTGTCCTTTCAATTTTAAGTGTATTTCCTTATGCCATATTAAAAAAAAACATATTATCTGATATGAAAGTTTATGGGATTCAAATATAAATTCCTTGTTGTATTCTTTCATACACTTTGTCAAACTTATTCTCGTCAATAATTGTATTTCCAATAAACTGTTCATTGTCTTTGATATGCAACAATATGTTTCTTAAGCAATCTATAAAGGTTTCATTATTAAAGTTATCATCCATACAATCAGCATCATTAATATTCATTTCTAACATGCAGAATGCAACCGTAGAATATGAATTGTTACAACATTTTTCAATCCTTGTCCACAATCTTGATAATGTCTTATCTTTTTTTCACTTAATACAAAATTCATTTTATCATCTGGAATTTCATTCACTAAAGTATTATAAACGTAAATTTGAATTTGTTCATCAATATCATCATCGTCACAAGGGTTTTTTCAATTGAATCAAAATGACTCATTATATTTGAGCAACTTTTACAGGCTACATATTCACAAATTTTATTACCAATACCATCGGTAAAATTACTTTTTATAATTCATTTTACTGTTGCATATTCACTACATTTACAGCTTAAGATTTTTTGTTTGATGTATTCTTCTTGATTGATTTCACGTTCACTACTTGTATCACTGAATGACATTTCGCTAATATATATATAATATATATATATACATAATATTCCTTTAAGTAGATTTCCTATAAATGGTAATTTATATGTTCAGCAATTCATGCCTCAATAGTGGTCTATTGTATCCTTCTAATGTATAATATGTTTGATTCAATTTTTCATCAATGGACTCTACGGTATACTCACCTTTCAAAAAGTGTGAGGTTCTCTCCTTCTCCGTTGTTGCTTTCTTCCTTTTGTTTTTTACTTTGTCTCCCACAAATAGTTCAGGATAGAGCCTCTGTTTCTTTGCTTTCATTGCAATGTTTAATCTTGACTTGAATTCATTGTCTGTATCTCTGGCTTTATACGGTGTTTGACCAGTAGCGGAATGCACATCTTTATTATTGTAAGTTAACACAATTTCATCTATGTAGTCTATCCATTGTATATTTGTGTTTTTATTATTTTCATCGTTCTCAACTCTTTTGCATAATGTGTCTTTAAAAGTTGTTTGTAAAACGCTCGGCAAAAGCAGGATGGCCTCTTGTCCTATACAATTCGGCCTTCGCTTTCTACATATGCTTGGAATTCACCACTTGCTATAGCTTTCTCGTCGTCGGTGTATATGATTTCAGGTTTCTTTGCCATCTTCTCTATCGCTTTCTTTGTTCCTTGAATAACACTGCCTGTCTCTTTCCTTCTTACTGGGACTACGACAGCATACTTACTCAAACAATCAATACAGACTAATCCAGCTCTGTATCTTTGTTTTACCTTTAAATCTTTTTTGGAAATATAGAATATATCAACTTGGTATCTATGATTGTTATGTGGAACAACAAAGCTGTTATAGCCTCTCGGGTTCATTTTTATCTCTACACTCTTTTCGAAAAAAATCTTCAACATCTTTCATAGTAATAGATTTGTCTTTCTCTCTTGCATCCTTCAAAGTAGTGTTTTTGGAACCAAACCCTGCTTTATAAAAATATATGTTTCCCATGATTTCTTGCTTACTCATACCAATATTTTATTAAGTTTATTATTTTGAAAAAATCTAATGTGAAGAAGAATTGCAGTGGCAACAATAAGCCTCGCTGTTGTCAATAGAATGGCACAGTCCATTATCACCTCTCTGCGCCGTAAAGTTACTTGATAATTTGCCACCTCTGGTATCAAGATTAAATTTAACTCCACACTTTGCACAACAACCCTTGAACATCTTCAAACATGTTCATCAATGTATTCATCAACTATTTCTCTTCCTCCTTTTCTGTCTTGTCCTTTGTGACCTTCAACCTTGTTTTTAAAATAGTTAACTACCAAATTCTTAAACATATCTTCGTCGGCTGTATCATTTTTGAAAAATATACATTATTGAAATCTGTTGCTCTGGTTACAGCACACCATAGCCATTCTTTGCTCACCAAATAGTCGTTGTAATAGTTGTTTCCAATCCTGAACTTGTAGAGTTCATCACCACTCTCTTTCTTTTTAAGTGATTTCAGGTTATGGTTCAAAGTGTATATGTGGTTACAGGGTTATGTTTGTAAATCAAGTTGCTGTCAATGTCATATACTCTTGCTTGGATATTGAAATGTTTAAAACTTTATCCGTCCATTTCATTGATTGATGACTCTGCCGCAGCCACTCAGCCACTCAGCCGCTGTGCCAGAGTGGCTGATGCAGCCACTCAGCCACTCTGCCAGAGTGGCTGGAGCAGCCACTCAGCCACTCAGCCACTCTGCCAGAGTGGCCGACGCAGCCACTCAGCCACTCAGCCACTCTGCCGGAGAGGCTGGAGGAGCAGCCACTCAGACACTCAGCCACTCTGCCGGAGTGGCTGGAGGAGCAGCCACTCAGCCACTCAGTTACTCTGCCAGACCACTCAGCCACTCAGCCACTCTGCCAGAGTGGCTGGAGCAGCCACTCAGCCACTCAGTCACTCTGCCAGAGTGGCTGGAGCAGCCACTCAGCCACTCAGTCACTCTGCCAGAGTGGCTGGAGCAGCCACTCAGCCACTCAGTCACTCAGAGTGGCTGAGTGGCTGAGTGGCTCTGCCAGAGTGGCTGAGTGGCTGAGTGGCTGATGTGAAAATTTCCGCCATTGCGCGTTCAATCTAATGTAATGAATATTACATTATATTATACTATATTATATCAAATAATATCGTATCATATTATATATATATATATATATATCATGTAACCTCCTAAAACCATAGAAATCAGCCAGGCGGGGTCTCAACCACTGGGGACAGCGCATCAGAGCTCAGCGCTCCAGGTTGACTCAGGCTCTGCTGGCCTTGGCGAATCTGCGGGGGCTGAACAAAAAGGACTGGAAATCATTCGATATTTAGTAATTAGTATATATATATATATTATAACTAATTAATATAGTAATATATATATATATATATATATATATAATATAGTAATATAGTAACTATTATATATATATACATTAGTTGTGAGATGTAAAGCATATACACTTAAACGGTTCACTGTGTCCAGGCTCACATCCGCATGGTTTTTTCTTCCCAAACTCTTCGTGCGGTCTCAACCTGCTCCTCGCAGGATAGTGCTTTGGAACGCTGTGCAGGTAGTCTCCTGCACAGCAGCACTGGTTGGATCCGTACACCCTGTTCCGCGCTCCTGTAAACTCAGGAGGCTACACAGGTTGAATCTCTCCCGCCCAGTGCTACAGTCGTGGGACTCCACGTAGACATCAGCATCCTCAATGATGTGATCCCCTACAAGGGAGGATACTCCACCGGAGTCCTACCTCATAGGGAGGGAAGGGAGGGAAAAGAAAGAACGATGAAGCCAGTTTGGCTCAGACTTGAGCCAAAATGGATTCATCAGCTTACATACTCACCCTAATGATAATGCACACCCAGTGCCTGCCAAACACGATGCATACATACATTAGTTGTGAGATGTAAAGCATATACACTTAAACGGTTCACTGTGTCCAGGCTCACATCCGCATGGCTTTTTCTTCCCAAACTCTTCGTGCGGTCTCAACCTGCTCCTCGCAGGATAGTGCTTTGGAACGCTGTGCAGGTAGTCTCCTGCACAGCAGCACTGGTTGGATCCGTACACCCTGTTCCGCGCTCCTGTAAACTCAGGAGGCTACACAGGTTGAATCTCTCCCAATGCACTTCATCCCAAAGCACTCAGAGAAACTCCACAACCCGAAGAAACGCGGGAAGTGGTAGAGACCAAATCTCGAAGGGGAAAAATGCAAAATGCGTGGTGAACCCATGGCGTTTGTGCCATGTTGCCTGGAGGCCTTCACGGCTGATCTCATCAGACCAGTTGGCCTTGCTAGGGATCCACTCCCAGAAAAACCAAGCCTTAAGACCAAAAAGAGTAATATGGATCAACCGTGACATATGCTCTAAATCCGCATTGTCAGAACGACCTCGGATCAATGCCATCAACGCTGCCGTGTTATCGATGAACCAGAGCCCTCGTCGGCCTCGAAATCTGGCCGGCCGAGAAAACAAGGCATAGAGCACTTGCAGCAGCTCTAACTGGGCAATCTTCTTGTCACCAGGCTCCCATAGGCTGTACACCAATGGGGGAATGAGAGAAACAAATGCTTCCCTACGTTGCCTGTGATCGTCATGCCACACCACCAAAAAGCCCCCAGTCCCCTGACCTGGGCTCTCCAACGCAGCATCCGAAGCAGCGAGGAAGCGGAGCCCTGCATGTGGCCAGATCTCAATGTGGCGAGAGGGACGGGTGGTGATGACAGTGCGTAGCAGGTCAAAGCTCTGGCGCAACTCCTCAGTTAACTCTGAAGAGCGCTCCTGCTGTCTGTGCTTGATTGGGGCCAAGCCACCGCAGCCAATACGCCCCCACACGCCAAGCTCAAAGAAGTTGGCGATACCGTAGAGCTTGGCTGCCACCCCTGGTTGCAGTTTGCCGGATTCCTCGGCAGTTTGCATGAGATGAAGCAGCTTGGTCTCGATGCGTTCACGGGCCCAAAACTGAACCAGACCCTTCAAATGGACTTGACTGAAGTCATGATCCAGGCCCAAAAATGTGCCGGTACTCTGCATCTTCTGACATTTCTCCTCGGAAAATGGTGTACCCAAAAGGGTGTTGAGAGTCTGCAAAGCTCTCTGACCTGATCCCCGGCACGATTTGCGGTCTGTCAAGTGAGCATCATCAAAATACAGACTGGTCAAACAAAAGGCAAATCGACGTGATAAAGCCTCCACAAAACGACTGTATCGATTGAATGATGTGACCGCAAGAGGAAGACCAAATAGCAAACCTGTATAAATCATAAACGCTGGTTGTTGCCATTCATGATGGAAGAAAGCCACAATGCAGCATAAGGCCTCATCCCAACTCATAGGGCAAAAACGATAGGCGTCCGGCCAATCCTCACCTCCCGACTCCCATTCTTCTGCCTCCCAGTTGGGTGACCTCCCAAAGGCGTAGGCATACTGCAGGTGTTGGGCCGGTCGCAACGCTGAGCAGAGGGTGAGCTTGTTTGCATCACTGGAACGCTCAGATTGCAAGCCAACATAGGCGTCGTCAATCACTCGTTGCTTCCCCGAGGATTGTGTGATGACGCACCGCGGGATCAATCGGTAGGGTTCCGCACCCAGACAACGCTGCAGTTCCTCTGCAGTCATGGGCGACCCACAAAAACCCTTCTCAGCATCTTTAAGGCTTTGCTGCAACAAAAACTCATCATCGGCACCTGGCTTGAGCCGAGCCAAAATGGTCTGGTTGTGGCTCTGCCAGTCCTGGAGTACCTCCTCTCTTGTCAAACGTGTGGCAACCTGTTCAGGAAAAATGCCATATGGTGGCGCGTAACCCACTGCAGGAAGCCCCATACACAGGCCTGCTGGCAGTGTCACGTCACCCCAATTGGCTACAAGAAGTAGAATTGCAGTGAAGCCGATGTCACGCTGCATTGTTGCCGTCCTGATGGCCTCAGTCTGTTTGCGTCTCAAATGGGCCGTGATCGAGCTCCACCGTCTCTTCATCTCAGATAGGATGCCCATGGCGCGCTCTCGCAACCTGCGCAGGTCAACTCCTGGCAGGCTAGAGAAAGATGCAGCAAACCTCAGATCCTCATCCAACATGGGAAGCCCTTCAGTAGGCAACTGTTGCATGCTGAGCTGAAGGGCTTGCTCAAAGTGCTGGTCTGGCTGAAGGTGAAAGGGCAGAAGGGGGGCCAGCGCCGCTCTGTGGTTGATCGCTCCCACCTGCTGCCCTTCTGCCGTCCTCATCTTCTGCCGCACTGAAGGGGCTGCCAACACCGGGTTACAGCTGCCCTCCATGTCCAGCCCTTGTTGGTGGCGCCATCGCACAAACAGGTCAAGTGGGTGCTGGTTCACTAAGTCCTCCACAAAGGGGATGGCAACTCCCTCGAACCACTCGCCTGGGTACAGCTTCTTGAACGCTAACGCCAAGGACCCCTGCAGAATGTAAAATGGCCCGAAGGGGATGCCTGTAGCCTGCGCTACACTTGACAAGAGGACACATCAGGTAACTCCCTGGTGACCCCTGCCAGAATGACCTTGGACCACCTGTGGGGCACTCCGCTGGCCCTGCTCACTCAAGCGATCAAAAATCAACCCGGCCAGGAGGTCGGCCTCACAAGTTTGGGCTGCGGGGCAATCACAGACCAGCACTGCTCCCTCGAGCTCATCCAACTCGCACCAGAGTGTCTCCCTGATGTACTGGACGTAATAGGGAACCCAGTCTTGAGGGGTGCAATTCACGCCCACCTGCCATGGAGACTTCCACTTGGTGGTCGATAGGCGGTGGTTATGACTGCCAAGCCCCACATACACGTGACCGGGGGGAAGTGCGCCCTGTTGCAAAACATCTTCGACACATGCTCTCGTGGGCACCCTAGCCGCTTCAGCTGTGTCCAAAGGCCTCAAACCCAGGCTGATGGCCAGTGGGGTCATAGCCCACTCCCGAAGTGCTCTGGGATCGAGGTCAAGCCAATGATCCCGATGCCCCGTACAACTCGGCGACGGGGACCTCGGCACATAGAGCTTGGCGTGTCCGACACGCACTGCCCACCACGAAACTGCCGTGGCAATCGCAAAACAGAGCTCTGCTGTATACTCGGATTCCTCAGCTGAAGGGAAGTGGCGCTTACCATTCTGGACCCAAGGTTCCCATTCCTGGGGGTCATGGAAATGGTTGCAGTCAGCTCGAGGCCATTGAGCGATCTCTGCAATGTTGTGGCGCAACCGCTGCAGCTTCGATCTCGCACCACCAAAACAGCAGGCTGAATACCGCTGGTCAGACCAGCGACCGCTCTCCCACATCGCCACCTCATCCGGTGTCCACCAATGGAGGCTGTTGTATGGGTTCTCGCGGACTGAGCCACCACCCCTGTCCACCAACTGATCAATCTCAGACAGTACAAAGCTCGCAGCCGCATTATCCTGCTCCACCCTTGTCTGCTGAGAACCTGTCAACTCAGGTAGACCCAGCGGGTGCTGCTCAGACCGCAACGGTCGGGGTGGTGGGCGCCCATCACCAAAATCCCGCGGAATTTCCCTCGCGCGGCTCTTGGTGGAGCAATCCAAAGCTGCTGCGATGAAGCACACGGACTGCAACTGCTCATGCAGCGATTGCTGCCTGAGGCTGTTGGATAGGTCATGACTCCTATCCAACATCCAATCCACTGAAATGGTCTCCCAACCACAAAAGATAAAGGCTTTGGACAGTGGTGTATTAGGCCCCGCATAAAGCCTCGCATAAAGGTCCGCCATCCGTGGCAGCTGACAGTCAACTCTGTCTACGGGTCTTGCCTCATCCTGCCCAGCAGAAGTGCCCGCCTCTCCCGCTGGGCCCCGTCATGGCGAAATCTTCGCCCGACATTGGATAGCTCCATGCCCCGGCATACCACAAATGCGTTCACCACGAACCACGATGCCACACTTGTGCTGGCCTTGGGGGGAAGGAGCTTTTGGGGTTCTTGCACTGTCCATGTTGGAAAGCCTGACAAATCTTGGAGCCATCGCGCATCACCTTGGCCACCTTCTTGCCACTAACCGGCTTGCCCAACGCAAACTGGGATGGTGGCTGGACTGCTGTCGCAGCTACTGTGGTGGGCTTGCTCGCCTCTGCCTTGGGAGCCCCGGGCACCGCATGTGGTACCCAATGGGCATCACGTGCCACACTGGTCTCCTTGATGACCTCCCCCAAGGACTTGGATGATTCCCGAAACTTGGCCACCCAATCGGAACGATCCTCAAGGTCACGGGCTTCGAGCCAAGCCAACCTCTGTGACAACGGCAGTGCACTGGACTG